CTAATTACTTTACTTTGCAGTTACTTTTAAAACATAAAATATACATATACAAATACAAATTAAACTGTAGCTCTTTTAGAAATTCAACATTCACTGAAAAACATTACAATTGATTGATCCAGTAGCATGATATATTCAAAGGACTTGAAGAATATGTCCAAAACTTAACATTCTCTCATCACTCAATTGTTCCAAACCTGTGTTTTGTTTTGTTTTGTTTTTTAGCATAAAAGAAGTCATGAAGAAAACTGAAAACTTGTAACCACTGACATCCATAGTATAAAAAAGCACTCCAGTGGTTTGGGTGTTGAAATGTGTATATTCCAAACAAAGTATGAAGCTGATCGGTCAGTTCTTGTCATGTGACTCGCAGTTTTCAACTGGTGTGCCTGGAAAATGCGAGCTCGAGCCACACAAATCCATTGGAAATAACGAACTTGTGCAAGCAAAAGACACAACATGGGAACGACCCCAAAAGCAGCTTCACATTCAGAAGATACCTTCACTCTCTATCCTGCACAAAAATCCAATTTAGCCTGTTTAGGCTGAGTTGGACCACCATGGTATTGGGCGCCGGTGTCCTCCTTAGTGGCAAGTGCTGACATAGAATGCTTTCTCTTCAAGTGCTTGAATAAGTTGCTGGTCAAGTTCTTTAGAGACTGGATATAGACTGCATTTCATAGCAATATTTTTGTTTTTATGCTAAATGAAACCAAACTTTTGTCTGTATTTGCACTTGAAGCACCAACCACTCCTGTCAGCAACTATTTCAGTTTCTTCTACAAACTATATTTGTAACGCAAGTAACACTATTACTTTAGTAACTGTGATCAAATTAGACAAATTTAAAATGTAAATCGTTACATTACTGCGTTGCTTGAAAATGTAATTAGAATACAGTAACACCCAACTCTGCTGATCAATTAATGTTAGATAAAAAGCTAATTAAAACGTAAACTTCCAAAATGTAAACAAGATTTGTAATGCTTATTGAAATGAAAAATTGCTTTAATATGCTGAATTAATAAAATTTGTAACTGTGAAGACTGTTGCTAAACGAAAAAGCTAACAGGCTAATGGTTAAATAGGCTAACTAAACTAAACCGAATCATAATATGTAACCCTAAATTTGATTTTCACAGCAATTTGAGCTCACTGCTTGCGAAAAGCTTAAACAAATCAAACTTTCTTACAGTAAATGAGATTTTTAATGCTAACTAAAATTGCTAACAGCTACAAAATAGTAAACTAGTCATAACTGTAAGTCTAATTTCCACTGCTGATTGAAATGGCTAACTCCTTAAAAATACTAAAGCCAATGAAACTTCAAAACTGTAAATGATAATTTCACTACTTAATAAAATATCTAACATCTATATAAAACAATCAAACTTTCTAAAAGAGGATTTCACTAGCAAGTAAAAAAAAAAAAAACAGCTAGAAAACAAAAAACTAAAATGCCTTTCACAAAAAAAAAATAAAAAATAAAAAAATCAGCCTCCTTTTTAAAAGCCATAAAAAAAGAAAAATCACCAATCAACTGCCAGTAACATGAGATCAGATGTTGGGAAATAGCTCTATAATAAAACATATTCCTCCACTCTGTTGTGAAATAACCCATTTTAAAGAGTAAAAAGAAAAAATGTTAATTTTAAAAAATGTTGGAAATGTGCATATGGCGCAACGAGAGCTGACCAGAGACATTTTTGTACAAATTGTCATCGCCGCTCCAAGTTTGAAAGCTCTAAATCTCAAGATCTTCATCAGAAAGCTGTTTTGGAGAGGTACTGACAGAGTTTGGCCCGTGTCTTCATAGTGGGAGAAACTGGACAGACCTTGAAACATCTCTGAGAGGCTTTAGTGCAGAATGATTAAATCAAGACTGCGGGGAGTCAATTAAATCAGCCAAGAGGGAAAACACAATCAAACCGGCATTGAGACGCTTTCCAGCTCAGCAAGGGAGGGAATTTGCAAAGCCCAGAATATGAGGAACCAGACTAGCATAAGCACGGCTAATATTAGAGGGAGGCTTGGTTATTCGCATTCCCATCACTGATTTCTCTATCCTGCAGACGTATCGCACGGTAATAATCTCATGCCTGCCTCCCTCTCTCTGCCCATTTGTCAACAACTCTAATTACTTAGAAATATAGACTGACAAAATATGTTTTGAAAACATTGCAGCTGAGATTCTTGCACAATCTCCGCGTCTGTTCTGTGAAAACACAGTAAAGCTTGTGAAACTGTAAACCATTCTGTGAAAGTGGAAACGGGCAAACACCAACAGGAAAATACATCCCAGTGTATGTTTTTGTGTGCTGAACGTGTGTGTGGAAGAGCGGGCGAGTGTTTACCTCAGGGTTCAAAGGGTCAGGATTTGAGCCGGAGGACAAGTAAAGTGTGTGAGCGTCAGACGGGGGCCAGATCAGAAAGGCACGTTGTTTATCATCCGGCCTTTAAAACCTAAGGTCTGTCATTCTGGCATTCCTTCAGTATGGAAATATGGTGCTGAACAGACCGGGATTAACATCACAGGGATTGTTTTGACCCTCCAATCTAAGCCTTCCCTTTTGAAATTTGATTTAACTGTCAGTCTAATTTCTTTCAATTACTTGCTAAGTGGGCAGATCATTTCATTAAAGATATATGTCAGCTGGATGAAACGGCGACTCTCAAGAGTTTGGGCACTAACAAGATGAGTCTGATAACGTATGTGAGGATGATGCTAACCAGCACCCTCAGGTTCAGATCCTTGCATCTAATTATGATATATCTGTCTGAAAGAAAGACACCATATGAATTTAAAATCAGTGTTTTTCTTAACATTATTCAAAATATATAATAATATGATCCTTAGTTTTAGTTGATATTTTGGTTCTACTTTACAGTAAGGTTCCATTAGTCTTTCATGTATTTGTTTTCCTTTAGCTTATTTATCAGGAGTTGCCACAGCAGAATGAACCACTAACTATTTAGGCATACGTTTTACACAGTGAATGCCCTTTCAGCTGCAAGCCAGCACTTGGAAACACCCATACACTCTCATTCACACACGCACTCATACACTACAGCCAATTTTGTTTTCCCCAATTCACCTATAGTGCACGTCTTTGCAATCGGCGAAACCGAAGTACCCTGAGGAAACTAACGCAAGCACAGGGAGAACATGCAAACTCCACACAGAAATGCCAACTGACCCAGCTGGGACTCGAACCAGCGACCTTCTTGCTGTAAGGTGACAGAGCTAACCACGGAGTCATTGTGCCAGAGTTCTATACAGTTAAGTAATAGTTAATATACATCTAGCCGGTTGTTCACACAGAACAAAATCTGACAGGCTTATTAGCATACTGATAGCCTATTTGTGAGGCAGAGGGCTGTTATATAAGACTGAAGGGCTTTACTCTTTGAAAAAACAGCTAGCTAGATGTACATTATTACACTTATTACATGACTAGAGTTACAAAAGTAAACAATTAGACAGAAAACTGTGATCTTGGCTGCAATAATTTACTAATTGTTTAATTAAATGTAAAGCTAGCAAGAAAGCTTGAAAGAAAAACTAAACTACAGCAGTGACACAATGTTGTTATGTTTGTTAAAAGTATCAACTTTGATACCAATTCATACAAAATCTTTTAAATTATATATTTCTCACTAGCATTTGAGCGCTGCTTAGCACTTTCTTAAACACAGCTAATTGGTCTCTGCATTCACATTATTATTGTTGCTTTACTGTTGTTCACCAAGCATGAACAGAACAGAAATATGGAGACTAAAGCATTTGAAAGTCGTGTCTATCAGCTGATCAATCTATAAGCAGATATATGAAAAATCCGCTGATAGATCAGCAGAAAAGTGCTGAAATGTTGACATTTTCAAACTTTCTGTATTGACAGGCACTAAAGTCAATGCTATTAGTAGGTCGATACTACGGTGGCCGAGAGAGCTTAAAGCGCTGCAATTTAAGAAAACACATGCATTTAAAAAACTGAAGAAACGTGCTGCATTTTGTCACAATACTTGCAAATATCCACATAACATGACGGAAATGTTTCGGGGGGACCCAAAAACATGACGGACCCTGCTGAGATATAGATGCGTTATCATACTGTGACTGCTGCTCAGTGAAGTAGTTGGTGGTCTTTGAAATGTGAGTTTTTTTGTTTATTTTAATATTCTGATTACACGATTCCACTGCTTTTTGTAAATTATCAGCCCAAAATACAGCAAGTTTCTTCAGTTGTTTGTGTTGTGAGAATTTGCAACACATGTTCTGTCACACTGATGAACATTGTTTCCTAATTATCTGGTGTTTTTAAGTGCAGAGCATTAAGCTCTCTCAGCCATTGTACGATACCCTAGTCAAGACGATTTGTGGTACCCAGAGGAGCCTGTGTAATTAGTTTCAGTGGTTGTTATCTGAGAATAACATGTCATGATTGACCAATCAGAATCAAGTATTCCTGAGAGTCATCTGGTAATGTTAGCCAAGATGTTTACCAAAATAAACAATATTTGTACAACATTTAACAACTGTAGTTAATGTTATTTTTAGCATGCATTAATGCATTTTTAGAAATAAAGTGCTTCCATCATGTTCTATAAATTTTTTTCAGCAACTACGTTGCATCAATACACAAACAAATTTCAGTCAAAAAAAAAAAAAAAACTGAAAAGATAACATAAAAATACCAACAAACTACTTAAGACAAAACAACAAATGCCTGCATTAATGAGTGCTCGTGTGATTTTGTGTGAGGGGACTAACAGGTATCCACACCTCTACCTCAAACAAACATAAAGATATTTTTTTAGTTTGAAAATTTTTATAGTTCATAAATCTCTTGTGCACATTTATAAATGTATAAATATAGTATACATTGAAAGTCTGTGCATTTGACTGCAAAAAAAAACTCTAAGGTACTGAAAATCTATAAGATATTTATATTATTTTTAAAATAAGTGTCTTGTTAATTATGTGGTCGTATATGCGATACCTCGACAGTGCGGGCCCTCGTCGCGTCCATCGGTGCAGTCTGGGACGCCGTCACACAGCTTGCTCAGGTGAATGCACACATCCGTTCCTCGACACTCAAACTCATTGGGAGGGCACTGTGTCACCTGTGTGTGATGACCTGCAGAGAGACACAGTAAACAAACACAAGTCAACACATTGCAACGATACAAAGACATGCGGCGCCATTCAGACACTAGTTTAACAAGATCTATTCCTTTTAGAACATTAACTAAGTTACCACCTGAGATTCTCTAACAACAGATCCATAATGTTTCAATGCGAGGGCATGTGAACTTAAGTTTCAGATCACTTGGCTTGAATTAGGACTGCACAATATATCATATCAGTATCAATATCGCAATGTGTGTATTCACAATAGTCACATTGCAAGATTTTAGAATGTGATCAAATATCGATAAGCTGAATTATCATGATGATTCCACCCATGATATCATATCCATGTAGCAAAGTATTGATATTTAAAGGTGCAAAAGATCTGAATTAATTTATCATCCTTGCACTGCTACCTTTATCACAGTACAAGCGGTGGCGCTTCTCGTAACGGAGAATCGGAAATGCATTCGTGATACAATTCTATAAAATATACTGTAAGTGCTAAGAATGAACTAAATACATCTTGTAAGTTTTTGAAGCACTTTTCCCCTTCATTTACAGATATAATGACATATTGTAGATTATTTTCTTGTGATATATTGCAGGTATCTTGATGTATCATTACCCGGGGGCAAAATATCATAATATCGTATCGTCATACTACTGTACCTACTAAGTAACTACTTATTTCACTATATTTTGCTAAATTTTTTTATGCTTGCAATTTTTTTTATTCAAGAAAATTCCAATCAATCTAAATGATTTAATTCCAAATAGAGCTATTCTAGTAATCTGACGAAATTGTATTCATGTAGCAATTTATAACATAAAAACGAAAATATCGCAATTTCAGATTTTTCCAATATCGTGCAGTCCTAGTTTGAATGTCTATACCAACCATCTTATATTTTCCAAGATTATCCTCCATGATGTAATAAATAATCATTAAAATAATTAATTTTATTTATAAATGGTGCCTTTCTGTACACCCAAGGTCGCCTAAATTAATTAGTGTAACTGCATGTAGAGGTCTTTTCAGATTTTTGATCTAATATTGCGGAAAAAGCTCAGTTAATTTATATATGGACATGAAGGAAGACAACAGAAAGCATTTACGCATGTACTGATTTTGAATTGTCCGCTTGTAACTACATCAACAAATGTGTCCATATTTAAAAAAAAAAAAAAACATAAGGAAAAACACTTAAAATGTTATGTAACTGTTCTAAATTAATATGTTGCCGGCTACACTTTATTTTATGGAGCTTTTGTATTAAAGTAACAATAAATGTAAAGACAGAGTAATAGACAATATATACACTTTCTAAATTTGGCATTGGGATATCACGAGCACTAATGCACAATTTGCTGTTAAATAATATAGCAAGTAAAATGTAAACAAAGTGTAACGTATAACAAAGATGAGTATTATAATACTATATGCATTCATAAATTGAATTAGCTTTTATTATTTTAGTTTTAGGTCAATTTATTTAGTTTAATTTTTTTTTTTTTTACATTGATTTAATGTTTGTTTTTTTTTTTATTTTAACTTGTATTTGCTTCAACTTATTTCAAGTCACCATGGTATTATTTAAAATGTATTTATTGTTGTTTATTTTTTTCCTTTCCAGATCTATTTTAGTTTATTTCAATTAAAAAAAAAACTTTTTAATAGCTCATGAAAGTATAAAATAAACTTTTCCTACTGCCCTTTGAATGTTTACTGTTATTGTCAAAGGTCTTATTAAATATTCATGTTTAGTACCAGTAACATCCTCAGTCACTACCAAGCTAAACAAAAACCAAACTGCCTTCCAGAACGCTTAGATAAAACACAACACCACAAGTTAACACTAAAGAAGACAATAAAAAACTGTTTAAAAACGTAATTGGCAAGATAAGATTAGAACCTTCCTCTTTAAGAAAAAACTAAACAAAAAGAAAAAATGTAAACCATTGCTATTAGCTGGAGCTGTTCTCTTTGCACGGCCCACACAGCAAAGCAAATTGTTTGTCTTGGATATTTTTCTTTCTTCCACCTCCTCTTTCTCTCTTCCCCTCCACCTCTACTCATAACATCTGCTGACCCATTTTAGAAAAACACAAGAAAAAAGGAGGAGGAATTCACCTCCTGTAAAGAAGTAAAGCCAGGTTTTTTTTAGCTGGGTTAACATAGCACAACACAGCCTCTTTTGAAGGTCCATTAGCTTTCTCTGCTCTCTTAATAGCACGTGTGTGTGAGTATCTTCTGAGACGGAAATGAAGGGGCCAACATGCTTATTTGGTTCATTAAAGCTTGGCAAAAACAGACTGGAAAAATGTTTCTGTGGGAGGCCCCAATAGAGCTTTAATTTTATACCAAGGGCAACATTACAGCTCTGCTCCAAAAGCTAGCGAGCTGCCTATGTAGGAAGCAGATTATGTAGAATGTTTAGAATCAATTGTGAGCTTCTTAGCAATAAATAAGCAATAGCCTATTTGTGTAGCTCACTAGCTATTGGAAAAGGTCCATGAAGCTCTCGTTTTTAGCTCAAATTGTGCTTTCAAGAAATCAAATAGAAGCTCAATGAAAAACAACATTGATTTAACTGTCAAAGACAACACTGCAAAGCTTAAACAATTACATAAGGTGACAATTTAATATGGAAAGATATTTACTGTAGATTATGTAGAGCTGGATTGGAAATGATCCACTAGGATTTGACTAGAAAGTGGGCGATTGGGGGTATTTATAACAACCCACACAAGAAGAAAATAGGCAAATGCGTTATGAATAATAGGCATGCTCCAATCAGGATTTTTGCAGCCGATAAAGAGTACCGATTCTTTGTCATGGTGATCAACCGATACCAAGTACTGATACTAATGCTTCAAGCTTTACAATGCATTAAGCACATTAGATTAAATTAAGGATGCTGCATATAATATCTTAAACATCTCTTTTAACCATTAGTGTGGACATGTCATAACAGAGATGTAAAAAATACAAAGAAAAATTAAAAGAATGCAATTTGGAAATATTGCACATGATGGAAGAAGAATCTAACATGTTTTTCAACATTATTAAATATATATATACATACAATTTAAATGAATTATTGACTTCTGCTGTCTTCATTTGTTTCAAAAACACAGACTTATTAAAAACGGCATGTTTGGATGGATATATTTTCTGCTGGAGACACTGTTGTCCAAAACAAAATAAAAAAATCGTACTCATACCTTGTGAACGGTATTGCAGAAAATTTTGACGGGTTTAAAACCTTGATTTTTCCAAACCGCGATAAACCTTAAACACGGTTATCATCCCATGCCTAATATAAAAGCTTAAATACATGCAAGATCATTTCAATTTTTTGCTAATTTCCAATACTGACAGCAAATCTTTCAATGAGAGGGGGGATTTGCACTTGATATCTTTAGTTTTCTGGGTATTTTGACAAAATTAGGGGGATCACGGAGACACTACAAATATGTGAGAGCCTTGCGGGAGAGCTTCCAGGCTGTATATATTTTAGCTGTTGCGACGCGAGCGCATCGATTGCTCACGCCTCCACACATCATATACCTCCTCACTATTTGCGGCTGCTGTAGGCTATGCATAATATATGGGAGCGCATGTGCGTCTTTCTCTGCTTGTGACCTTATAAACAAATGCAGATGGATTCATGAGACTGGCCAGATTGATGAGTACCGATCAAGTCGTTAAAATTAAATCATTTTGGCCGATCGATCGGAGCATCCCTAATGAATAATGCTAACAATAAATATGGAATATCTTTCTATAACTGTATAATCTTGTATTTTGTAACTCTGAAAAATCACAATGAATATTTGAACTGTCATTCCGAACATTCCCAGCAACACCAATAAAACCAGCCACAATCTTTCCAAACAGGGCTCTGGTTATTTTCAGCTGTTCCACTAAATTTCAGGAAGGAACTGCATGTAACTTCCTCTTTTACTAACACTCCAGCCTCATATTTATTAGGGTTCTGATTCATATCATATGACAGCTTCCATCTATCAGCCGTTCTGAGGGAAGTGAAAGCAGAAACACATCAGAGCTTTAAATAGACCAGGGGTTAAAAACTTAATCATATATTAATCATAATTGTTTTTATTCAAGGTATAGTTCACTCAGAAATAAAATTCATCCTTAGTGCATTCTGTGATATAGGCAACTCTATTCAGAATAACATAAAAGGTTATTTTTATCTGAAATTGTAGTCCTTGAGGATTAATAAAATGCAAGTTCATGGTTTTTAGCACTTTGCATGCCAAAAAAAAGAGAGAAAACTAAATTAATACAGTGGTTCCTGAAGGTACAATTCAAGATACAGATGCGTTCATGCATGACATGGCATTGGACTTAACGTTAATGCGAATAATAAAAGATGGAAACACATTTGTCAAATAAGCTGACATAGCGAACATTACACCCATGTGACTTATCAGCTGTTTCCATTATGCTTGTCTTGTTTACTGTAGGTAACTAAGTTAGTACCAATACTACAGACAGCCGCTCAAATGTTCACACCAAACATGGAGCACTGCGTCACTTGTTTACTCACAGGGTGTTTTTCACTTCACGCAAATTTTCAGCTCAAGTAGAATTTGTTTGTACTGTAGTAGATGTGATTGAGGTAAATGTCGCACATTTGTGGCAAACACATCAAGCATTTTTATGTAATTCGTCACTATTTGCATATTTTAATCATTGAAATTGCATATAACCTACTGGTGCGAATTGGTTAAAAAGATTTTTGGATAAAAAGTTTATGATTTTATGGTATGGTGATTGCTGCTCTAAAATATCTTAATTTTTTCCCTATTGAACACAGTATATTTTATTTTAAAAAACAATTACAAATATTTTGTAACAGTAAGCATGTCAGGTTAAATAATTAATGTAAATTACTGACTTTTGCTGTCTTCATTAATAAAAAAAACACACACACAGATTAACAACTTGACAAAGTATTTTTGAATATCTTTCTT